CACAAAGAGTTCCATGAAAGAAAAGCAAAAATTAAGGCATATTTGAAAAGGCAAGCACTCAAAGGAAATCCTAGAATGGCTCTAGAGTAGAATTAAGTGTTTAATGTTTCTTGTTTTTATAATTTCATGTCCAACCTCCCAAGTCTAGCCAAGGTTTTGGTTTCAAATAGGGTACAAATATTAGTCCAAGTCCAAGTCCAAATGTGCAAGGGTATAATGGTCCAAGTCCACAAGTCTAGCAATAATTACTTTTTTTTCTTTTCTTTTCTCCAATTTTCACGCCAGCTTTGTGCATTCTTAGGAAAAGAAAGTAACAAACTAAGGAGAGGGCTCAAAATCCACAGATGATGATCATAGATTTTTGTGTGGTGTGCCCTTCATCTTCCTCCACTCTCCCAGCCATAGACCTCGTGATAGGCCCTATGTGATGCTTCAAGGATGGTCCTCCATCACTTTCTATACTAGATTGCATTGTGTAAGGTGCTTGGAAGAAATGTTGAACCAGATTCTGTGGGAGGACAGTTGCACCAGCTACCCACCCATAACATTATTTCAATATTATGTGTATTGTTGGGCATGTAAATAAAACGTGAGTAATTGTTTCCTCTGCATTCTTGCAAAATACACACATGTTGCTCTCCTCCTCCAACATTATATTTCTTCTCCTAAGGTTGTCTACCATAGCTAAAGCATTGTGATGTAACCTCCAACAAAAAGCTACAACTTTTGGTGGAATGTTGATGTTCCACAAAACATTAAGGAATAGCCATCCCCTAGTCTACTCCGGGTAAACTTAATAGTTTTGTATGCTAAACTGACAAAGTACACGCCATTTGATTCATGTATCCATTTCCAAGCAGGTACTACTTCCTTTTGAGGAATTTTTGTCTGTAATAGTTGTTGTAGTTCCTCCTAATTTTGCATTTCCCTACCAAACCACTCTCTCCCCCACAGTAAATTGCATTTCCACACATTGTCCACCCATGCTCCCATTGATGCTACTGTGTTATTTTGTTGGATCGAATTTAGAAATAGTCTAGGGAACCTATGAATTAAGGATTGGTTCCCAACCCAAGGATCATGCCAAAACCTTGTGTGTTCTCCTTGACCAATGATCCATTCTATTCCTTGGTCAAACCAGTTGTTTTGTTGTTCACCCCCATATACATTAGAGATATCCTTCCACCATATAACCAATGCGGGGTTGGGTGTCCCATCTTGTAGGTTTCTCCACCCATCATATCTGGAATTTAAAATCCTATTCCATGGTGATTGGTGTTGATGGAATAACCCCCACCGCCACTTACCTAATAGTGCATCATTGAACATTTCAATATCCTTCACCCTAAACCCTCCCTATTTCTTTGATTGGCATACTTTCCTCCAACTCACCCAAGATATTTTACGGGTACCTTCCTTTGCACCCCATAAGGAATTCCTTTGGATTATGACAATCTTCCTTTCTACCTTTTTGGGCATCTCGAAGACAGAAAGGTACTATAGTGGTAGATTTGTTAGGATAGAATTTATAAGGCAAACTCTTCCTAGCATTGACAAAAACTTGCTCTTCCAGCTAGATATTTTTTTTGTTGAACTTGAGCAGCACAAGTTTCCATGTATTAGCCTTTCTTGGGTTTGATCTAATTGGTAAGCCCAAATACAAAAATGGCAAATGCATTATCCTATCAGCATGGTCGCGAATCTCTCAACTTTCACTAGTTGTGCATGAACAGCCCCAAACAAGCACTTGTTGAAATTCACTTTTAATCTAGAAACGAGCTTAAACCACCTTAAAATACTTTTTATAGTAATGATGTTAGTCTTTGTTGCTTCACCTAAGAAGAGTGTTTCATCTACAAATTGAAGCATATTAACCTCCATTTTGTCGTTACCCACTATGTAGATTGTGTATAAACCTTTGTTAACAGCCTCTATCATCATCCCAAACATCCCTTCGGTAACAACTAAAAATAAGAAAGGTGCCAAGGGGTCACCTTGGCGTAATCCTCTTTGTGTGAAAAATTCCTTTGTTGGGCTCCCGTTGACAAGAACGGATACTTTGGCCAACACAAGACACTCTATAATCCATTGTCTACTTTTACTCTATAATCCATTGTTTGGTCCGAAATAGTGCAAGCATGAAGAAGAGCTATATTCAGCCCATGAAGTAACAAAATCAGAGACAGAGCAAATAGAGTCAAATGTACCTTAGTGTAATTCTCTCTGTAAGCTAAGGAATTCTAAATGTGTACATCTTAGAAGGCACAACCTTAGTGAGTGTAGATCATATATGTATCCTCTCTGTGAGAGTAACCCAAAACACTCGAACCCGACTACACATCTATCAGTTGTAAAACCTGAAGCGGCTAGGAAAAGAATACTTGTAAAGCCTGGAAGGGCTTGTCAAAGAATACTCACTGCTAGCTAGAAGTGGCTGATAAGAATATACTAGCGTTGGTGAGTAAAGTTGAGGGGTCAGGATTGGTCGAGAATAATACTTCGAGAACCAAAAGTGGTTTAAGAATACTAGCACCGGTGAGTGAAGCTGGCGAGCCAGGAATGGTCGAGAATACTTGGAGAACCAGAGGTGGTTTAAGAATACTAGCCTTGGTGTGTGAAGCCGACGGGTTAGGAGTGGTCGAGAATATTTGGAGAACCAGAAGTGGTTTAAGAATACTAGCGTTGGTGAGTGAAGTCGATGGGCCAGGAGTGGTCGAGGCTACTCACACTACTAGAAAAGTGTAATTTTCTTGTAAATTTTTCTGCAAAAAAATATTCATAGAAATTTTTTGCGAATTTTCTTGCAAAAAAATATTCGCAGAAACTTTTTGCAAATTTTTCTGTAAAAAAAATATTCGTAGAAATTCTTTACGAATTTATTTACGAAAAATAATTTACAGATATTTCTTACAAATTTTGCTACAATTTTAATAATCATAGAAATTTTTTTCCATCGTAAAAATTTGCAGAAAATATTGTAAAAATTTTATTTTGTTTCTTGTAGATTTTCTTGCAAAAATAAATTCGCAAGTAATGTTTACTAAATGGTAGAAAAATTTTGCAGGTAACTTTTCCTACGGATTTTCCTGCAAATTTTAATCCGTAGGAAAAATAAAAAAAAATATATTTAAATTTAAAGTTTAATATTTTAAAAAAAACTTCAAGTCCCACATCAATTGAAAATAAAGCAATTAAAGAGTATATAAGTTGGGGCAACACTTACCTTATAAGTTGATTTATATGGTTGAGTGTTAGACTTATAATCTACCATCTTAGAATTTAAATGATTATGTATCACATGTTGGAGGCATGGAAACAAATGCTTCGGAGGAATTCATTGTGAGCATTTGAAAGTTGAAGATTATTGATAGAATTTATAGTAATTTCTTTAATTATGTATCACATGTTGGAGGCTTAGAAAAAAATGTTTCTGCGAATTTTTTTTGCAGGAAACTTTCCTGCGAATTTTTTTCATAAGAAATTTCGCAGGAATTCGCAAAAAATTATTATTCACGAAGGTATTACCTGCAGATAAAATTCGCAGGAAAATTTGCAGGAACGTTTCCTGCAAATTTTTATAAAAAATTCGCAGGAAAAGTCGCATGTAATAAGAGAAATTCTAGTAGTGTCAGGGCCAGGAGTGGTCGAGAATACTCAGGTCCAAGTGTGGACGATAATACTCAAATGTTCTTAAACTTCATATCTAGTGGAACGCTTCAGTTGAAGGAGATTGGACGTAGCTCAATTTGAGTGAACCAGTATAAAAATACTTGTTCTGCGTCTTAATGTTTCAAATGCAATTTATTTGATTAATCTAATTCACTGAAAACTTTGTCCAATAATTATCGTCTATTAAAGCTATCTTCAGACAAAAACTATAATTGCTCAATTGATTACTCTAAAAGAACAATTTTTGTTTATGAAGTATTTTTCTCTTAGAAGATGATGAAACTTCTAGACGCAAAATGATTTTGGTAAACCAATCTTGGGTTGTTTCCGTTCAAGCATTCACTGATGATATCTTTACTAGACGAAAGAGAGCTTTATTGCGAAATTTTTTAAAACTCCTTTGTTCATTTACACACACATATTCAAGCCCCCCTTCTATGTATTTTTCCGCTAACTTCATATACCCCCCCCCCCCCCCCAAGAATGTAGATTAAGCATTTTCTATGACATCTGGCAAGACCTTTTTGAGCCTTCTTGCCAATATTTTTGCAATGATCTTATAAATGCATCCTATAAAGGAGATGGGCCAAAATTGTCTTAATTTTTGTGGATCAACCACCTTAGGGATTAAGGCAATGAATGAGGAATTAGTCCCACTAGGTAATTTCCCACTGGTGTGGAATCCCTCCACAAATCTCATAATATCCCTTTTCATAATGGCCCACAATCACTTGATGAAAGTAAAATTGAACCCATCAGGTCTTGGACTTTTGGAACCCTCGCACTCTCAAATCTCCTTTTTAACCTTAGTCTCTTGAAAAGGTGTAGATAATAATTCATCCTGTTGAGAGGTTATCATCTAGAAGATCACTCCATCAAGTTTTGGTCTTTGCCACTACACCTCCGTTTCTTTAAAGAATTTGTTAACCTGTACCCACTCCTCAGCCACCCTTAGGCTGCTCAAGCTATTTTTCCTTCTTTCCCAATTTATAACCTTATGGAAGTATTTTGTGTTCGTGTCACCCTCTTGAAGCCATGTGATTCTATATTTTTGCCTTGCCCCTGACTCACTTATTTTTGCCAATTCCCAAAATTAATGATGCAATTTTTTCCTTGTTGTATGGTCCTCTTCATCTAGTCCCATCAATTCCTCCTTTATGTCTAAGTCGTTCATGTTCTATTCAATTAGGCTAATTTGATTCTGGGCATTACCAAAAGTATCCTTATTCCATTCCTTTAGTTTAGCTTCCAGCCTCTTCAACTTTTCTTTCAGCATAAAGGCCCCCTAGTGGCCAGCCCTCCACCGTTGGTTCTGACCATATATTTCTCTACCATGCTGAGAAAGGTTCTATCCTCAAACCAGCAGTCCAGTGTTCTAAAAGGCTTAGGTCCCCAATTAGTGATTGAATTTTTCAGAATAATCGAGTAGTGATCTGATATATTTCTATCTCTGATATATTGTGTGTTGCCCGACCATTTAGATAACCAATATGATGATATGAGGAATCTATCCAGTTTGTTGCAAGCTATCTCGTTGGGTCAAAACCATGTAAAGGATCTCCCCATAGCTGGTATGTCTAATAGCTCCATGTCTGCAATAAATTCATTGAAATGTTCCATTTCCCCTGTTATCGTACCAATCCTCCCCTCTCCCTTCCTTTCGCTTTGATTTCTACCATTGTTGAAATCACCAACCACACACCAAATTGGCACTGGTGATGACTTCTTTTTTCTTTTAAGTCAACCCACAACCTTTTTTTCCAACAGAGTACATGGACAATACACATTGGTGATTACCATTGGTGTGTGACCTTCCTTCGATACTCTTACCACACCTAGAAAGCCCTCCCCTGAAAACTTACTCTAAGTCTCAAATACCTGCGAATTCCACAGACAGATTAATCCTACAGTTGCCCCTTGTGCTGGTGAGTATGTGTGTTCTACCTCTGATTCACCCCACAATAACTGGAACTGTATTTCAGTTATGCTTTCCATCTTTGATTCTTGAATGCACATAAACTGTATTCCTTCCTTAATGACAAAGTTCTTGATTATTCTCCACTTGAAGCATTACCCCAATCCCCTTACATTATATGATGCTATTATCATTGATTGACCCCAAACATCCCTTCTTTGCCTCCCATCCCTTGTTGATCCCTATCTTCCATTTCTAACAATTTCTATATGATCTCCATTTTGTTCCCTTCACAAGTTACTCCCACTATCATGCCTAGATCCCAAAGTTCTCGCACCTCCACTTTGTTATTTCATAGCTAGAACATCTTATTGCAATTTCGGATACCTCCGTCAGACAATGAGTTGCTCGATGCATGTGTAGTACTCCAAACTTCCTTCCCCGTTTGTGGTTTTTGTACTAATCTCTCCATCTGTTGAAAGCCACATTCTTTTCTTATGATGTCATTGACCGAACGAATTTTGAGTTTGCTAGTGTTGCTTATCCATTGTTGCGTAGGTGTTGTCAACGCCTCTCTTCACTGGGCGATCAGTTCTTCCCTATCTATTTTTGTAATCAGATTTATCCCTACGCATTCTATTAGCCCTTTTCTCAAAGTAGATTTGGGATCCTTCAGCTCAATTCCTTTACTGATTATAGTGGTGGAATTGGAAAGCTCAACCCTAGCTTACAATGTTGGAGTGTGGTCAGGGTCTACAATTGAGTTCGTAGTCTCGTCCTCCAACTATCAAAGATTTTTGGCCTTTGTTGTGATGGCTTGATGATTCGGCCCATTCAAGAATGCTTCTTTGTTTAGCAGTGGAACACCTCTTTCTATTGGGCCTATGGGCCCACTTTCAAAAACCTCCGTCTATTATCTCATTTGTGTCGTCCCTGTGTATTGCTTTATCGTTTGTCCCATTTTTTGAATTTTTCATGTCATTGTCACCTTTCTGACCTACTAAATCTGCTCTCCTTTCACTTGTTCCCTCTTCGTCAATTGTTCCCTTTCTAACACCCCTAGTGTTGGTCTTTTACCTTTCTTGTGTTTAGTTGCTCCATTTATCCTAATAATCTGATCAGTTGGTATACCAACATAGGCACTTTCATCTACACCGCCGTCTAATAGGTTGTTGTCCAAATCTTTGGTGGCATTGGACTATGCTTTACCCTTTGGTTTACAACATGGTTTTCTGACCTCCAAGTCTCGCTAGATTTGTTTGATCTTCTTGAGGTGGTTGTTGAACCGATTCTTCCTTGAGTTCATTTTGTAATAGACCACCATATTTAGAGCATTTTAAGCAAGATGAGTGTATATCCATTATGATGATGCTTTTCTGACGATGATAGGGTCCCCCATGATGACTTATCTTTCCATTTCCAGCAGTTGCATCGGCATGTTTCCTTCTCCGTGTCTTTGATTATCCTGATACTGCATACCTGTTCATTTTTTACTTCATTGCACGAGTGAATCTATTCCGTTAACGATGTGTTGATAAGTACCCCCACCTCATCTAGCCTGTTAAAGTTCCTTGTGTCATCGTCCAAAGTGACCAACGTTCCTATACCGGATAATGGTATGAATATTAGGGAAAGCACCTTAGAAGAATCTATAACTCCTCGCGATCACATTGAAGATTTCTCGTATCATTAATGGATCCTCTTATGGGCCTGCATATGGGCCTGACCCATCAAGGTTAGTATAAATAAGTATGACCAGTGACAAAGAGAGGTACGTTTTGATAATTACCAAATTGAGAAGCATTGATATCTCTGAGACCGAGGACTGACTTAAGCATTGGAGTGCCTTTTGCAAGTACCCCTCTCTTTCCCAAAGATACATCATGAAAGACGAAGACCCAACAGCATTGGAGTGCCTTTTACAGGTACCCCTCTCTTTCCCTAGGATACCTCATGGAAGACGAAGACCCAGCAGGAGTAGCAAAATTATCGGAGTACCCTCGTGCAGGTACATTTTGGCGCCCACCGTGGGGCCCGTTGTGAAGGCCCGCATTGTTTATCTCTTTTGCAGGAAGAAGATTTTGTAGAGGATGGTCATTACCAGGAACAACAACCACTCGGTTCAACCTGAACAGGACTCGGGGCTGGTTGCTGTGGAAGATCAAATTGATCTCTCAAAAGCTGTGAATATGCTTCGTGAAGAAATAGCAGCTGTCAAGAAAGCCCGAGAAAGAGACGCTCAGGAGCTTGAAGTACTCAGGAGAGAAAATTCCGAGTTGAGAAGCTTGAACAGAACTTGGAACCCTACTGAACAACCCAACAATGAGGCCTCCTCATATCACGTACCAACAACTCCAAAAACACACGTTCCTCTCATGCAGTTATCAACCATTCCTGGGAAACCTCCCTCTCGGATAGTGGCAACACCCGGCTCATACAAGCACCCTTTCACTCAAAACATTATGGAGACAACCATATCTGATAGTTGGAGAAACCTTCCTTTAGAGAAGTACGATGGATCCTCAGATCTCGATGACGACTTGAATGCATATCTCACACAGGTTACCTTGCTGACAACAAAAGACGCTGCTTTGTGTCGCCTCTTCCCCACTTCACTAAAAGGACGAGCATTGAGTTGGTTCATTAAGCTTTCCCCCAGCTCCATAAATTCATTTGAAGAACTAACATCTTTATTACAGTACAATTTGCTACAAGCAGACCTTACCAACTGACATCATTGGCGTTGGCCAACATCAGACAGGAAAAGAAGGAATCCTTAAGGTCATTTATGGATCGTTTTAACAAAATCGCAATGGAGATAAAAAAACCTGAACCCAGCTGTCGCAATGGATAGGTTGAACACAGCGTTGAAACCCAGACCTTTTGTAGATAGTTTATGCAAAAAACCTCCGCTGGATATGAATAACTTGAGGAGAAAGGCTGAAAAATACATGAAAATGGAGGAATTAACTTAATCAAGAAATCAAGCTAGAGCCGAGGCTATGCCAATTGAGAAGCAAGAAAGAATCTAACGGAAGGAAAGCTCTCGGCCAATTGAGATGGACCATACAGAATTAATCAAAACATGCGAGCATACAAGCTAGAAGAATTAAATGGAAAGTTAATGCCAAGAACATGGAATACAACACATTTGAAAGTGTATTACAGTTGAAAAACATTGTAATTCGGTGTACTCTTTTCCTTGCTTAGCTTTTTATCCCTAAAAGAACGTGAAAGGGTTTTTGCTAAGCAATGTTTTTAACGAGATACCCCAGTGAATAATAATACAAGAAATATTTTCAGGTTTAACGAGCTCCTAGACTCAAGACCTCGGCCAAGGACACACTCGGTCGAGCGTGAAAAACAACTCAAGACCTCGGCCGAGGACACACTCGGTCGAGCGTGAAAAATGAATCAAGACCTCGGCCGAGGACACACTCGGTCGAGCATAAGAAATAAATAAAAACCTCGCTCGGCCGAGGAAACACTCGGTCGAGCTTGAAAAATAGCTCAAGACCTCGACCAAGGACACACTCGGTCGAGTATGAAAAACAACTCAAGACCTCGGCCGAGGACACACTCGATTGAGCATCAAAAACAACTCAAGACCTCGACCGAGGACACATTCAGTTGAGCGTGAAAAACAACTCAAGACCTCGGCCGAGGACACACTCGGTCGAGCGTGAAAAATGAATCAAGACCTTGGCCGAGGACACACTCGGTCGAGCGTGAAAAATGAATCAAAACCTTGACCGAAGACACACTCGGTCGAGTACAGAAAACAACTCAAAACCTCAGCCGAAGTATAACGTCCAACACCTCGACCGGGACGCATTCGGTCAAGAGTAACATCAAACAAATCAATATGTATTAACCGAAGACATAATCCATTAAGTGCTCATTAAATGATTCTTATGCATGTTATTAGTCCTAACATGTTCTAGAGTCAATTTTGTGAACCTTAGTTGCTAATTGTTTCTTAGCAATCTAAGGCCAGAAATTCCTTGTGTCTTGTATGCTTATTTTGAAAAACAAAACAGAGTAATAAGTGTAAGAAAAACGAAAATCTAAAGTGTAAAAAAAGAAGAACAAACTAGTAGCAAAACTAGTAACTAATGTGATTGAAATTTGACTTGTACACTTACACTTCTTATTCCTCTTTTCTCCACCACTTGGAAACCTTTTATATCATTGTTTGGCCTCTGTTTAGTGATCATTTTCTTTATTAAGAAAAGGTTCCAAGAATGAAACAAAATAAAACAAAAACAAAAGAACAAAAGTTAGAAAAATAAAAGTGAGGAAATAAAACAAGTTTAGAGCACTTGGCCTTAAAATTTTTGTGTGATTTTTCTTGAAGGTTTGATCTCTGTCCAATGGCTAGAAAGGAACTTTAAAATACTCAAAATAATAGCAATTTTTTTTTTCATTTTTGTAATCAATTCTAAAGCCATTCGTAGGACTAATCTTTTGAGTGCTAGTGTTGAAATTGCCCCTTAATTATTGCTTTGTGTCTTTCTTAGCTTTATTTGAGTTTGTCACAATAATTCCTATGTGATTTTAGCCTCTTCTAATTGTGAATTTTTAGTTTGATTTTATTGGATTCCACATTCTCTTGATGGTTGTTAAGTCTTAGTGAAGTTAGTTCCATTTTCAAGTCATTACACTTGGAAAGGGGAGGATAATTGAGACATATTGGATTCATCTCAAAGAGGTTAGACCTTGAGGGAGATTGAGGTAATAAAATCTTGGAGTGAAACACATTGGAAAGGCTCACTTGTTTGCTCAATTTGTAGCTAAGATTTTTTTTTTTGTTTTAGGTGGCAGATTTATAGACGGACTTAAAGACGAATTTCAACAAACTAAATTTAAACCTGTTTTGAGATGAAATTAGCGACCAGTTTAGCAACAGAATTCGAGACCACTGTTCTAGCAAGGTAAAACTACATCTTAGAGACATAATTTTTTGACAGATCTGCGAGAAACAACACCAAGGGCTCCAAATCAGTCACTAAATCAATCACCAAAGCTGTCACTAAATTCAATTACTAGTTTTTTGTGAAAATTTTCAATTCCTTTGTATTATATCTCAATTTTTCATGGAAATCATTATTCCTATCCTTGGGTTAATTTCTTGTTTCTTTTTTCTAACTCAAACTCACATTTAGAAGTGGATGTTTTTGGGAAACCTTTGCTTAATCCCACCACTACCCAAATAGTTTTAAATAAAGACTACTAAACTTTAGCACTTGTGAAAGTGTCCTCAAATGGCTTCAAGTGTCATTTGGGCTTCCACTAGGATTCGACTAGTTTAATTGCTTTAATATAACGTGTAGAACTTGTGGAAGTGGTCTAAGGGACTCTTAGTGTCACTTGGACTTCCACCCTAGGGAATTTGACTAGTGTATGTTTTAATTGTTTTACTTCATTAGTTTACTTTCTATTTGTAATTAGGGAGTGTCACTTGGACTTCCACTGTGATTTTAGCCTCTTCTAATTGTGAATTTTTAGTTTGATTTTATTGGATTCCACATTCTCTTGATGGTTGTTAAGTCTTAGTGAAGTTAGTTCCATTTTCAAGTCATTACACTTGAATGACCAGTGACAAAGAGAGATACGTTTTGATAATTACCAAATTGAGAAGCATTGATATCTCTGAGACCGAGGACTGACTTAAGCATTGGAGTGCCTTTTGCAGGTATCCCTCTCTTTGGCTAGGATACCTCATGGAAGACGAAGACCCAGCAGGAGTAGCGAAATTATTGGAGTACCCTCGTGCAGGTACAGTTCCCAATTTCGCTACCAGTTTTGCAAAGCACTACATGTCCTAAACTTAGATAGGTACTCCATAGCATTTCACCCATACTAGTGTGTTGCCCGGTCGGAAATTAGGCTCCCACCTTTGTATCTTGTGATGTTTTTGATATTATATCTTCCTCATTTATTTGGTTTTCACTCAGTCCTATTATGAGGATCACGTCGTCTCTGAGATGTCTCAATCTTAACTCATCATTTTCGTTTAGCAGGCTTGCCTTTTAGCTTGTCATACAGTGTGAGATCCTTCAAGAATCCGACCCAGCTATTTTCCAGCCATTCTTTATTCACCATACCTCTGGTGTGTTGAAGCTCCTCCCCTACCACCCTGTCTGGTGTTGTTTATTCTTCTGTCTTCACTACCACACACAGGACTTTCCTTTTTGTCCCCCAGCCACTACTTGGGCGTAAGTTCGTTGTTTTGTTGGTGCTGCTTTAATAGTGTAGTTCTTCCCCTTCACCTCTTGCCTTTGATTGACACCATGATTCTGGATTGTATGACTCTTCTACACTCTCCCCATGTCTCCGGTATCGAGTATATTAACATGCATCTTAACATTACCTATCATAATCCTATTGAGCTACCACTCCATTTGCTTTTCGTCCAACACACCCACGAATCTAATAAATCCGTGCCTTTGACCAAACTTGTTCCTTCTTCTAGCAATAAATACCTCCCATACTTTGCCACATCGTATGAAAATCTTCCATAAGTCTTTTTGTTCGTATGCTTAAGGGAATCTTGAAAAGGAAAAGGTAGAGGTGTCCTTGCGTTGTTGGTTTTGTTGTTTCCCATCCACTCTTGCGTTGGTGGTTTCGCTGTTTCCCGTCCCCCCCCCCCCCCCCCATCTTTTTCACTTTTTTCCTATTGATGAACATTTGTTATTCATTAGTATCCAAACACTACTAAATTTTAATCCATTAGCAACATTTTCTTATTTACATTTGTTAAAATATTACTATATATTATATAAATGTTATTTTGTAACACTTTTTTGAAAAATGTCATTATAGATAGAGTAACATTTTTTATTTTAATACTATTCTTTCCAATTGTTTTCAAAATCAAAGTCTCATATCGAGTAAAAAAAATTTACATAAGTTATTTTGCAACATTTTTTTAAAAAATGTTACTATAATTGCTTCTAAAATCAAAGTCTCACATCAAGTAAAAAAAAATATATTTCTCTTATATCTAATTGTAACTCATAATTAAAGTCTCATATCGAATAGATTAATGATTCATAAAGAGTATATATACTGATATAGTTATATTTAAGATAAATGAAATTTAATATTCTATATATAATTAGTAGTGACTAACTAAAAATTTCTTTCTCTAAAAACTTAAAAAATTCCTAGAAGTTTAGGAGACATATCAATATAATAATTGATAGTAATATTTAAATTAAAATTAATTATTATTTTATAAGATTAACAAAATCTTGGCAACATCATTAAAATGTTACAAAAAAAAATTATTAAAAAGTTACAAAAATACTACTTTGATAACATTTAAAAAATGTTACCTAATTATGCAAAAATATTACTAAAAGTCTTTAGCAACATTGACTATATACAACATTTGATAATATGTTGCTAAAATAAATTAGCAACATTTATACATAATTAAGTAACATTTTTCAAATGTTGCTTTGCTAAATACCATTTGTGTTGTAGTGAAACTATCATATAGCTAAGTTTAAGAATTTTCTGAATATCTCTATTTGGAAATCTCTCATATGTTTTCAACACAGAATTCCATTCTTTTTTCACATCAGACTTGCAATTTCATTTTGAATAAACGGTTTGTTTATTTTTCGTAATATATTATTTGATTTTCATAATGGATGTTTTGAAATTTCAAAATCACTATGCACACCTCAAAACAACCATCGGATTGTTTGCTCGAAACAATTGAGTAATCAAAACTCACATACCTAATAGGAAGTGGGTTACTCATTAACTGACTTTTCATTTTTTCATATCCCATCAGTATTCTTTGCAACCTCTCGTGTCGCCCTAACTACAGGTTTCTTGAAACTATATATTGATGGTAAATGAAACCTATAAATCTCGAAATCAATTTGGTATCTCATTTTTGCGTTTTAATTTGTTTATCTTTATTTTTTTTACAAAACTCATGGACACTTCTATGATGTACGGTAGCCAAAGTGTAAAACAAGATTCATAAATGCTTACTAATGTGGGCTGGAATATTATCTGTGTGAATCAGTTTGTTCGACATACCATGACCACCTTTGTTGAAGTTTCAAAAGAGATTATCAAAAACACAAAAGCACAAATGAATATAAAACAAAAGAGAAACTAACTTGTATCAAGGTAAGAAGATTTGTTTACCAAATGTGTAATTTTGAGAAAACAATCCTGATGAAAACATTAGGAGAGACTTAATTAATATAATTTCTCTTTTAAATTTTTAAAGGGATCTTTAAGTTCTTAGACTTCTTAAGTTCCTTTAATAATTTTCATTAATATTAAAAGTCATTTCTAACACAAAAAAAAAAAAAAAAATAAGATCTCTCTGAGACCACATCCTTGAAGAGATCTTCAAAGATGATTTTCCATCAAACCCATTTATTATTTCACCATCATATGATGGTTTTGATATTTCAAATAATACATGTACTAATTTCAGTATTAAAATATAAAATGATCACACGCAACCTACATTACTAAACGCAACCTACATTACTAAAAACTCCAAAATATGCGAGGATCCCACAGAAATTTTCTTATTAAAGAAAACCAAACAAAATTTCAATTCCACAGAAAGACACTGCAACACAGTAAACAAATAAGAGAAATTCTATGGTACCCATCTTATTTGAGAGGGTACCGGTACAGTTTTTAATATTTTATATTTTTAATAATTTATTTAAATAATATTTATAATATTTTATTCTTTCAATTTTTAAATTATTTAGTTATTTTATTTTTTATTTTATATATTCTAATTTATTTGCAATAATATTATTATATATTTAAATAATTTAATTTTAATAATTTTTTAAGTTTATTTTTATTTTTTCACTTAAATTTTTTGAATTTCTATATTTTAATTTTAATAATTTTTTAAGTATTTTTTTTTTGTCTTTTTGTCATAAATTTTTGAATTTCTATATTGTAATTTTAATAATTTTTTATTTTTACTATTTATTAATTTTTCTTTTTTTTAATATTTTATAATATTATTGAAATCTTATAATTTTAATTTTTATAATTTTATCTTACTTTTTATTTTATAAGTATAATTTAGATTATTCATTTTATAATTAAATTAATTTTTTTAAAATTTTTTATGAGTTTACATAGAAAAATGTATTGGAACCCCTCGATCTTTGAGGGTACCGTAGCAACTCCCAACAAATAATACAACGACCAAACCTATGTCCTCAGCGCACATCTAATCGTGGCTTTGAATTTATTAATTCTTTTACATGTGACATAAGCTTTATTTTGACAATGATTTAGTTCTAGTCCTTAGTAAGGTAAGCATCAATTTTTTGGCTCTCTTCAACTACCAACTGCAGCATGCCATAAGGGTCGGGAATGTCATCATTTTGTTTCTCATATTGCACGACCCAATGCACTATGCTTCCCTTTTCCTTTGGGGTAACATGCAATGTAAACTTGAAGCTCTTGTAATGTTCCAGCAGGTCTCCCTCTATAACCTTGAAATTCACTTTGTTGTTTTCCCTCTCAATGCCTTCAACCACCTCTGTACACTCGCAAGTTTTCCCCTCTGTTGCCCAAAACCAAAGTTAAACACACATTAGTTTAGATAAAAACAATAACTGATTTAAATAAAGTTAGAAGATTGTTTTTAATCCAATAAACTTACAAATTAATATATAATATTTTTCTTATTTCTATTTTCTATTTTGAAATGAATAACAAAAAAGTCACATTATTACAAATTTATCAATTAAAATCACATATATTATTACATATTCATCAATTAAATAAGAGTGTGGTTTCTCTTATTTTCTCCCCCTTTTAAAACCTTTTAAAATTTAAAAACAATAAAAGTATCCCAAAATTCCTAAATGATTAAAGTGTCCGAGTTCAATGTTTGGTAGAAAATTTTTTAACCAGATTTTACTTATAGAAGAATCAGAATCATATTATTATTAAGATTATTATAAGGTGAGATTATTGTAAGGCCAAACTTTAAAAAGATGGGTGCAAAAGAAAAAGAAAGACATAAACTTGCTGGAATTCACTTCAAATATAACTATTACTTTAGAAATATATTTTTTTCATTTCACTGGAAATTAACACAATTCATGTACGTATAGGCTAAGATGAAGTGCATGTAAGTATATGTCACATGGGTGTAGTATAATCTATATATACTTCTGTTGAAACCTATTTTGTGAAATGCAAACAACAGAGTGTATGTTTTCTTATACCGTGTAAATAGTTCCAGGAGATGATGGATCCTTCAGTACCCCATTCACCTTTATGAATTTCAACAGAGTGTATTTTTTCTGGGAAAATGTTGGCAATAAGGTGTGTCCTGTTGCAAAAAACATCATAGAACTTCTCACCAGAAACCTTGGTATGCACGTTAGTTTCAACTTTTTGAAGTCGAGCCATATTTGCTTCACTCCTTAGAAGGTATATATGCACGATGTAGCTGTATATATTTCTGAAAAGAAAAAAAGAAAGTTACACAAAATGTTCAGATCGAAAGGTGTGACGGATCCAGAAATTTTAGATAGTGAGTGTAATAATTATTTATATATTTATATTACAAAAAAATTTACATGTAATTTTTTAAAGTATAAATATATTATAATTATTTTTTACAAACTTTTATATCTATGTTTATGATTAATGATGAAAATAAGTTAGGTCAGACTATGTTATATTATAATTTAGTAGGTTTGAACTTAACTTTTTTTAAAATACATGTCTTAAATATAACTTATTTATCTATCATAGACATTTTTTAAATGTTTGATTAGAACTATAATCTTAAAAATATACTTTATAATAATTTAATACTAATAAAAACATAAAAAAAATATATTAAATTGTATAAAAATTAAGTTTAATTTATTTATAATATAAACATATTTTTAATATCTAATATAATATTTTAGATGATAACTTATTTCAAAACATATTTTATAATAAAAATTCTAAATAGAATATAAATGTTCCAAAATCTTTCTCATTTTGATTTTTTTAATCAAAATATACAATCTTACGATCTTTACTATTTTGATTTTTTTAATCAATATGTACATAAATAAAAGTACAAAAGGTAAATATATATGCTACAAATTTTATTTTATCAAAAATTAAACTTTTTAAAAAATTAATTCGTTATTAAAGAATATTCTTTATCACATATAAGAACTAATCTCTTTTGAAAGTTTGATAAATATCAAATAAATGAATAAATCTTTTAAATTTATATTTTATATATATGATTTAAATATATTTATTTATTTTGTTATAATATAACTTTTATTTTTAAAAATATATTATTTTTTATATAAAAAATATGTGTGTGTCAAATGGTACTGATGGTCCATCCCTGATTGAAAGGAGAGGAAGTGAGATTAATTACAACACTTTGTTGGCACTCACACTTCAATTCTCCGATTGATTTATTAAATGACCAACATTCAGCTCATGACATTTTATAGGCAAAGAAATACAATAAATTAAAATAAAATAAAATTATGATTAGTAACGACAATAATAATATAACAGAAGAAAATTTAATGGCTAAGAACAAAATATGGCGGTGCGGTCATGCAGCTGTATGGACAGGTGGAGTATTCTGAATTTTCAAGCAAAATATTTCGATCGGTCCAATCATACAGTCGACAAAAGTTTCATTTTGATTTGATTCTACAACCATTGCCTTGATATAATTTGAGTGATAAAGATATTTGTACATGTGTAAATTTTAGAAAATAGAATAAAATTAAAAGTTAATACTTAGAGGGTGAAAAGTTAATGAGTAGTTGTAGAAATAAATTTTGAACAATTTTAAAAAGTGAAAAATAAAATAAATTAAATAAAAATGATAATAAAAAAGTATTTAAATATATTTTTATTTTTATATATTAAGTGATTTAAGATTTTTATTTTTAATTTTTATTATTCTAAAATTTATAAAAATTATTTATAATTTTTTAAAATATTTTTTATCATTGTAAAATGAGTAATTTTTAATTTTAGTCTTTATAAAATATTTTTTTAATTTTTATATCTCTAAAATATAAAATTATTATTTTTAATTCCTAACAATTATTTTAATGTAGGTAAATAACATTTATATTAAATATGTATAAAAAAACAAAGAAATTTTAAAAAAAATTAAAACTTACTTATAAAGAAGAAAAATATATTTAAATCATAAAATAAAAAGTAATTTGAGAAAAATTTATAAAAATAAATGTCTAAAAAACTTGTATACCAAAAAATAAAGCAATCTTTTGTTATTAGTATAAACAATTAGGAGTGTGATTTATATATATATATATATATATATATA